CAGCAGATCCCCTAGCTCGGCGACTTGGGGGACTCCTACTACATGGTTTGTATCGCGCTTGACCAAGCATGAAACTACAAGTAAGCTTCAAGTGAAATTGATACATTACCTTGTGCATCTCCACCAGTTACAGATACCACCCCTGGATGGAGGAAGAGTACTTCCAGAGAAGATGCCACATCTACCTATGAGACAGATAAGGCAAGTCAAGACGATACCACACTCCGGTACTTAGAAGTTTCGTGGCTACGAGATCATTCTCCCACAATATTTCCTAATGTCATTTGTACTAAATCATTCACTTGTACTCACTAAAGGAGAGCTTGAACCTATGTACTTGTGTAAACCCTTTACTATTAATGAGAACTCCTCTATTCCGTGGACGTAGCCAATCTGGGTGAACCACGTACATCTTGTGTTTGCTTTTGTGTAAACCCTTCACAATTAATGAGAACTCCTCTATTCCGTGGACGTAGCCAATCTGGGTGAACCACGTACATCTTGTGTTTGCTTTCCTATCTCTATCCATTTATATACTTATCCACACTAATGACCGGAGCAATCTAGCGAAGATCACAAAAAGTGACCGTTTTCGCTACCTAGGATCTATCTTGCAAGAGAACGGAGAATTAGATGGAGATCTCAACCATAGAATACAAGCTGGATGGATGAAGTGTAAGAGTGCATCCGGCGTGTTGTGTGACCGTCGTAGGTCACTGAAACTCAAGGGAAAATTTTATAGGACGGCAATAAGGCCAGCGATGTTGTATGACACAGAATGTTGGGCAGTGAAGCATCAACGTACACAAAATGGGTGTAGCGGAGATGAGGATGCTTCGTGGGATGTATGGGCACACGAGAAAGGATAAGATTGGGAATGAGGTTATCCGAGGTAAAGTAGGAGTAGCCAAAATTGAAGGAAATATGAGAGAAAATCGGTTCCGGTGGTTTGGACATGTGCAAAGAAGGCCTACTGACGCTTCGGTTCAAAAATGTGACTACGGGACAGAGGTTCAGGGCCGAAGGGGTAGAGGAAGACCTAGGAAAACTTTGGAAGAGACCCTAAGAAAAGACTTGAGTACTTGGATCTAACGGAGGACATGACACAAAACCGAGCGCAATGGCGTTCTAGGATTCATATAGCCGACCCCACTTAGTGGGAAAAGGCTTTGTTGTTGTTGTTGTTGTTGTTGGTGACAAATTCATACAATTTTCTTCACATATGCATCAAACATTTCTAAATTTGAGGAAAGTCCTGGTAAAAAATTTCAATATAATTTCTAACAAGAAATTAACCAAACAAGCTGTATTTATACATGAAAGCAAGTTCCTTAATCAAAACGATATTCTACGCGCTCAAAGGGCACTGTAATTGACAACAATCCCAAATACTCAAACTTTCTCTGTTTTCTCTCCTTCATTACCAACATTTTCTCAGCAACCAAACAGATAGTAAAAAGAAGAAGAAAGAGAGGAGAACAGTTTACCTACAAGCCAAGGCCACCTAACAGGAGGGTCAGGAGCTTCCTTGGTCAAGTACCTGAACCTCTCAGGCATAGTACTCTCCCCTTTACTCTCCTCCTCAGCTGCATCAACACCCTCATTTTTCGCACTCGCACAAACCCTCAACTTTCTATCAAACAAAAACCCATTTGTTTTCCCGGAAAATCCAGGAAATTTCTGAGCTTGTATTGGGTTCAAACATTGGAATTTGGGTGAATTGCGAAAAGGGATTGTTTGGATATGAGGTCGGATTCTGGGGGGAGAAAAAGAAGCGACTTTGAGTCTGAGAATGGAGGGGGTTGGAGCGGAGATGGTGGGAATGGAAGTCGCCATGGCTTGGGATTTAGAGAGGGTTTGCTGCCATTATCGGTAGCAGCGATGGAGCTGCAGAATTAGGTGTTTTGGGTTTTGAAGGTTTGGACTTTTGTTCTTTGAGAAGGAAAAGATTTGGACTTTTTTGTATTATAGCCCCAAAAAACTTCACAATTGACCCATGCCACATACTATTAGGTCCGGCCCACTAAGACACCGAGAGAAAATGGAAGCAATTTCCGCTCTTTTTTTTTCTCGTAATTTATAGCATTTAGATTGAATAAATTAAACATGAAAAATATAAACAAGGTACACCATATACATAAAGTAAAAAAAAATATTCCAAAATTATATCTTAGGAGAAAAACTTCAGTAGAGCAGTCAACATCATTGAATTACAAGGGTTAAATCATGGAATTGGATCCGTTCTGTACCTTAGTGTCCGAAGCTTAGAAATCAAATCATTTGGGCTGCTGATTGGTGTGTAAAAGAAATCAAAGCCGTTGGTTTTGTGTGGTGGGCTAGGAAAATGAGTTAATGGGGATCGTTGGATTGAATTTGTGCGGTCCAGATGAATTGATCTCTAGGCTCCGGACACTAAGGTCCAAAGCGATCCAATTCCGTTAAATCATAGGCTAGAAATGCTAGTGTCATTGCCACATGGTATATCTAATGAACGCAATAATGTCTACTTGTTTTGGTTCATCTGGGCCGTGACAGCTTCTTATTTGGCGATCACACACAATTAACTATGTGATGCTGAAGATTAACTCTTGTGCAAATTTTTGTTTTCCAAAATTAGAATTTGCAACGCAGTTGTTCTAAATCCCAAATGCATTGAGTCAAGGGCTCTTACGTTGTTAGGGATGATACCTGATATGTACGAACACATTGGTGAAAACAATTCTAAGACGAGATGAAAGCCCTTGATTCAACAAGGCAGCTCAGACACTATGTTGAGTTGAGTCATTCAGAAATTCAGTAGTGAAAAAGTGATGAACAATTCTTGACAAAGACACTTGTTTTAGATCGATGTAACAGCGTGCGTGCTTCATCCACGCAGTCCAAAATAACTCAAGAATATATTTTTACATATACATCCTGGTGCCTAAAGCAACTCAATGCATCTTCGCTCTTCACCGTCTTCAAAATTCAGTCAAAACAGAAAATTAAGAGGGAATGAGAATAATGTATATGTGTCTTTGGGCATGTTTGTGAGCAAGGCATCTCTGAAGGCATCTTGAAGCTTGCCACTGGTTCGAAAAGAAATTCCTTCCTCATCATCTGATCTCTCCCAAAAATGCGGCTTCTCCATTAATGTCGTAGATTAGCGCCCCAAAGTACTGCATTATTTTCCACTGCTCAACATTACAATCTGCTGCATTGTTTTGAATTATTATGCCTTCAGAAGTGAACCCCTTTTAGCTATCAATTAAATTTTTTGGCCTGATATTTAACAGGCGAAAAGAAAGCTATTCGCAGTAGGCGAAACCGGATAACTTTCCAACACCTGATACTAGTCTTGATAAAGCACCCAACTAGTTCCAGATGATGCCTTCACTCCCTTCTTTTTCATTTCCCTTCTCATTTGTTCCGCTTCCTCGTGCCTTCCTAAGCCAGAATATATTCTTGCCAATAGTAAATAATTGGCAGGATTATCAGGCTCAATTTCGGACAGAGCTTTCCCTGCAATCTCAGCAAGCTCCAAGTCTCCGTAAGTTCTACATGCTGAAAGAAGAGCACCCCAAGCTTTAACGGTAACCTTCACCGGCATTTTCCTTATGACCTCATATGCCTCATGCAACCTCCCTGCTCTGCTCAGAACATCTACTAAACAAGAATAGTGATCACTATTTGCTTGCACACCATAATCCTCACGCATCCGACCAAAATAATGCAGTACTTCATCTGCTAATCCTTCAGCATGGCTGCAAGCCTTCAGTACTGCAAGAAAAGTAATCTCATCAGGCTCTACTTTCGCCAATTCCATCTCACGGAAAATTTCCAATGCAGCTCTTGCCTCCCCATGAAGTGCATACGCAGATATCAGACTACTCCATGCAACCACATCCTTTTTTTTCATATAGCGGAACAGATTACACGCATTTGTGAGACAACCACAACGCCCGTAGGCCTCAACTAGGCCACTACTCAATTGGGAATGCGAGTCAATCTCATTTCTCACATCATAACCATGAATTTCCTTAATAAACCTTAAAGCCGCTACACCAACAAAAGCACGTAACAGAGCAAGCAGTGTTATTAAATCCGGTTTCCATCCACGCACTGTCATTTTCCTATAGAACTCGACAGCCTTAAACGACCCATCATCCAATCCCGACATCCCAGATATAATGGTATTAAAAGTTGACACATCAGGTTCAACATCCATTGCGTCAAACAATCTCAAAGCACCAAACACATTACCGTTACGCGTATAAACCGATACAATAGCATTCCACACAACAACGTTCCTGTGAGGAATTTCATCAAACAGGTTGCGTGCGGTCGACAATGACACGCACTTGCCATACATGTCGACGAGAGCGGAAGCCACAAATGGGTTTGATAGGATGGAAGATTTGGTGACATGGGCATGGACGGAGACGCCGAGTTGCGGGCGGTGGACGGCGGAGCAGGACTTGAGAACAAGAGAGAAAACATGGGGGTCGAGAGAAAGGGCCAGTGAGGTCTGCATGTGGTGGAAGAGCGAAAGGGCTTTGTCATGACGGCCTTGGCTGACGTAGGAGGTTAAGAGCTTGGTGAAAGAAAGCAACCGTTGGAAGTTTGAATGGTTGTAGGACCCCATGGTGGTTTGAGCTTTGGGAATCAAACAACATCAATATTAAGTATTTGGCATTAAACAAGCAAGTTCGGTATAGTTTTGTTCCCTGATTTAGGTGGAGTGGAGCGTATCAACATGTCGTTTATTTATATTATTACACGTCGTGTGTCTCACTGTGTTTCGATTACATCTAAAAAAATTGCTGAAATTTAGCTCAATTAGAGTTTCGGTTTGTGAGTTAAAAATCCATGAGTCCTTGATTTTTTCACGATGAAGAGAAAAACTTGTTACATAACCTGACTGTCTTCTAACATCAAAGATAACAAACACGCAATGATTGGTGAGCCTCTTCGCGCTTATGGTTGGGGCCGCCTGGAGCTCTGGTTTGACGTGGGCTTCTTTATAGCGAAGAAAAGATTTTTGTTTCATTGACATATAGACTCTGAAGATTTGGTGCCATCCATTGCAAGGAATCCCTCAAGACATCATCGCTCACCTCCGTTGAAGAATCTACTGCTACCTCAAGATCGTCGAGAATTGGTAATGGCGGAAGACATGTCTTTCTCGTTTCTTCTGGAAAAATAAGAGCCTGAAACATTCAAAAGAAAAATAGAAACCAATCGGTAACATATAGGAATCTAGGATGAATATGTATATGCACTATGCAGAATTTGGAATAACACTTAAATCATAATCGAGCATGCATGCGTAAATACCTCAGCTTCGTTAAGGGACAGGCACATTTTCCTTGAGCAATCTAACGTTCTGTTTGTGCTGAAACGAGGGAAGCACTTCTCAAGAAACTTTCTGAGAGGAGAAAAATCTCTCTCTGTGAAGTTGAAGTTGATGTTAGCCTCCAATAAGTTGGGAGCAGTCAGAGAAAATTTGGACACAAAGGCACTTAATTGATCAGGAGGCAAATATCCAGTACTAAAAGCAAAAAAAGCTAGATTTGGAGTATTAATTTTGACGTTTGTAGCGCAGGCATTGCGCCCACAAAATGCAAGGCGTTTCAGAAGCGGATTACTGACTTGAATTGTATCCGATGACCAGTTGCTGCATTTGTATAACGTCAAACTCTCAAGAAGGGGAAACCTTAGACTTAGGTCATCTTCAAACCCTTCACCTGAAAGATTTGTATCAAAGAACTCCAGATTTCTAAGCGATCGACAAGAGGCAATGTCGAGGTGTCCATCTATGTGCACAGTACTTGAATCACCGCTACAAAATCTATATGATTCGAGATTTGTAGCTTCAACTTTGAATCTCACCACTTTCGAACACCAAATAACTTGCAAGGATTTGAGGCTTGAGCTCGAAATTTTGCAAAGAAATAACGGACATAAAATTAATGACAGAGACTCGAGAGAAGAGCACCCGGAAAATAACCGGACAAATCCCCTGTCAGTGTTGTAACCCAAATTCATTTTTTTGAGGGTCATAGTTTTCACGGAAGGAAGGCTTATAGAACCAATGTTGTATTTTATTCTCACATTCTCCAAACTTAGAGTGGTTAAAAATTGTGCATTGAGGATAGCCCACGGTAAGCAGTAGGATATGCTTCTGTCACCACGTTTTCTTTTGAGGATGATTTCTAACTCTTTAACGTTTTTCTCAGCCGCAAAATTCAACCACTTGTTTATGATATCGGCACCTCCAGAGTACCTCATTCGAAGCCTGAATATGTTTAGGTCTTGTTCATCATTCTCACGGCACTTCAAACATCTGTGAAGGAACTGGAGGAACTTTTTCCTGTCGGGTGTGTACTCACATTCAAACAGCTGCAGATCCTCGTCGAAATTTAAGACCGGGAGGGAGGAGAAAGACCACACGCGTCTCCATTGCTTGGAAAGAATGCTGGCCCGAACAGCAAGTTTGGTGGGGAGGAGTAGGAGAATATGGTAGATAGCAGACTCAGGTAATTCAGGTCCGTACCTGTCCACGGCCAGGGCATCACACTCTTGGCTTTGAGTATCACCTTGATCTTGATCATGACTTTTGATCTTTTTTATTACGTTTGCGCTGGTATCAAAATCTTCAGTTTTTCTTTTCTTAGTACTCTTCATGGACGTACCTTCATCGTGCCGTTTGATCTTTTTGATAATGGCTGCGCTTGTATCGCAGTCTGCGACTTTTCGTTTCGTAGTCATCATAGACATATATAACATGTAGTGATCAATCAATGAATTTAGAGAACAAGAGAGACAACAATATGTATCTGCAATTTTAACAGAGAATTAATATTGTCTCTAAAAGCTTGAATAGTACACTTTTATAACCACAAGGTCAATTGCTTGCTAAGCAATCAACGTCCCAATCTCCTTTGATTCCTTTTCTTTTTAGGTAAGCACTTTCCTTTTGGATTCAGAAGTTGTTTTCCAGAGTTAATTCCTCTACCATGGAAGAATCCTAGTGAAAAAAAATGCAATGGAATTGGAACTCCTATTATATGTAGGAATATGTCTTCCCTAAACCCTAAAATTAGGCATTGCAATAAATATAAATATAAATAAATAAAAAAAGAGTTGTAGAGTTCTATGCTGTATAGGAAAATCAGAAACCACATCCGCCTCAACTTGCGGGCCAGGACAAAAGAGATTTTTCAGTGTACCGGGAACACGGCCCAATGCACATTAAAACTTAAGGAACTGAGTGTTTCACTTCAATTGCATACTCATTCAACAGTCGGGTGCATGTATTTATATTAAGTTGAAGATTCCATCCAGGGTTTGATAAACCCTATTTACATGGAGTATTTGAAATTCAAAACGCAAACAGAAACGCAAAGAAAGTTACAGAATCTATGACCATACAACAAACGTTTGAAACAAGTCCTAGACTCACCCAACCTCTTATGAGATAAGAATTACAAATTAACTTAAACACTTCAAGTGGTGTTTGACTGCAACAGAATCACGACTTGGTCTAATAGTGTAATAATACAATTAGTTGGAATTTTTTCTTTTACATAGCCCATACTCTTGGCACACTGAAAAATTTCTCCCAGCGCGCGGATGCGGAACCACGGAAGTAGGATTTTGGCTTTGCCACTTTTATTTCTTGTTAAATTTTTTTTCCCGGATTAAAAGTACTCATTTACCAATGAACTATGCAAGAACTACAAAACAACTACTAAAGCACTACAAGTGCAAAAAGACATTCAAATGACACCATTCAAAATGTAAATTGAAAGTTCTCTGAATGTATGGCGTTTAGTTATTTTTAAGTCACCTTTAGTTTTTGTAATACGTTCCTAACAAATTAGCCTTAGTTTAATGAAAATTTAAAATCTCTCATTCAAACAGCCTATAATTCGGATGAGTCATCCCTGCAATTTAACCCGACATAGCTCAAAGCATCTGCCTTCATAAGTTTCGCTTCAGAAAACCAAAAACGTTCAATCATTCTAACGATTGTGAAGTAAAATAAGCAAGCACAATGCACTCATCTGATAATCCAACTTGGTAAATCAATTGTTACAGTTCTAAATTTTACACTACTATTAATTAACCATGTGTAAAGGTTTCATTTTCTTCATACACAGTGACGCGTAGACTATCCACAGATGGTGCCAACCACTCCAAGGAGCTCCCCAAGTCCTCCTCTTTCACGTCTGCTGAAGAATATGTTTGTACCTCAAGATGCTCGACAGTAGGTAACGGTGGCTGGCATGTCTTTCTGGTTTCTTCCGAAAATATAAGAGCCTAAAACAATCCAGAAAAAAGAATAAACAAAATTAGAAATCAATCAATCACAATACAAATGCGGAATTTGGAATAACATATATATATATGAACAGAAAATTTACTCATAAAGAGCCTGCATGCTTGCATAAATAGAATACCTGAGCGGCATTAACGGAAAGATTTAATTTTCTAGAGCAATCAAAGTTCCCAAGAAATTTTCTCATGGAAGACGAATAAGAATCGACGATCGGATCGAAGTTGATGATGATCATAGCCTCTAACAACTTTGGAGCACTGATAGAAAAGTTGGACACCAAAGTACCGAATTGAGCTGAAGACAAATAACCTGCAGTACTGAGCTCGAAAGAAAGTAGATTTGGAGTACTAAGCGTGACCTTTGCTACATTTTTGTCGTATCCATAAAGTGCAATGTGTTTCAGCTGCTGATTATCGACGTTAATGATTGACGATGAGATGATGCAGTTATTCATTGTTAAACTCTCCAAGAGTGGAAATCTTGAATCAAGGCCATGTTCAAACCAGGCACCTTCCAAGCATCTATCAGAGAAGTTCAGATTTCTAAGTGTTTGACAAGAGGCAATATTGATTTTGCTCATGGACGTGTAGCAACTTAAAAAATATTCGAGATTCATAGCTTCAATTTCCATTCCCACGATGCTACATTGAACAACTTTCAAGGATTTGATGCTCAAACTCGAAATCTTCACATCATCCTTTAATCTACATTGATTTAATGACAAATACTCAATGGAAGGGCACCCAGAAATTAGTTGGATGAATCCAAGTTTACTCAACACTACGGTCGTGAGGGACATAGATTCCAAAGACGGAAGGCTTATACAACTCATATTGTCCACTATTCTCACATTCTCTAAATTTAGTGTAGTTAAAGACTTTGCATTGAGAATGGTTTGCGATAATTTGTGTATGGCATTTTTATCAGGGCCAAGTTTTCTCTTAAGAATGATGTCTATCTCTTTAATGTTTCTCTCAACAGCAAAACTCGTCCACTTATCTATGATAGCCGTGCTTCCTCTCCCTCCGCCATACCTCATGTGAAGCGTAAGCTTGTCCACGGTGTATTTATCTTTCTCGCGACGCTTCAAGCACTTTTTCAAGAAGTCAATGAACAATTTGTGCTCGAGGGTGTGCCAATCACTGCCTGGCTCCTCATACTCATTGAAAACTAAGACTGGGATCGAAGACCACACTCGTTCCCATTGCCTGGAAAGAATGCTGGCCCGAACAGCGAGTTTGGTGGGGAGGAGAAGGAGAACTTGGGAGACAACAAGGTCGGGTAATTCGAACTCGCGTGTGACCACGGCAGTACCATGTTGGTTTTGAATGTCATGATTCTGATCCTGGCTTTTGGTCTTTTTATTTATGATTCTGATATCGTTACAAGCTTCGGCTTTTCTCTTAATCATATTGGCGTCTCTTTTTGCAAAACGGCGCTCGTAGTGATCAGATCAAAACAAGAGGACACTGAGTAAACTGATATTGTGCGATTTTAGTAGAAACAAAAACACATTGAGAAACCTGATGAGTAAGAAGAAGGATGGAAGGGTGTAAAATTGCGAAGACAGAAAAGAAGAAGCAAAGCTTCTATAATGATAACCAGAAGGCTTTTCCTACTCTCTTCCAAAAAGGCCAATTTTTAACAGACCAATCGTTTTCAACTCCTGTTCCTAATCGGAAACAACTCTCCTTTGGTTTTCTATGGCGGAATAAGAAATAAATACAATACAATCAATAAGTAATCCTTTTGGATGCAGGAGAAGGTACAGAGTTAATCATCTGATGCATCGCCAAATCCTAATAGAAAAAGAAAATGGTTTCAATAGTGGTTAGGCCATTATTTACGAAAAGAAAGCAACGGGATTCGGGATTAAGTTAAAACTCACAGTATTATGACTTCTATTTGTGACACCTAAAAACTCCTAGGATTTGAGGGGTCGAAATTGAAATTTTTACGTTTCATAACGCACATGAAGTTAAAGAGTTAAGAATTCCAAGTTACTGAAATCCATATTTTCGAGGGACATAGTTAAGAATTCCACACGTGCTCACGCATCACCCACTTGTTGTCCACGTGTGGGCTTGAAAATTAGTCACATGTGTGGGGGCATGTTGAAAGTTGAATAAGTGTGGATAGTGGTGACAGACAAGGCTAGCTAAGGGCTTATATGGAACCCCAATTTCATCATGGTGTTGGTCCAAAAGGAAAAAAGGCCAATCTTTGTTAATGGAAATTGAAGTTTGCGCACTCTTTTTTCTCATGCACTTCTTCCTTTTTCGAAGCCTTACGAAATGGAGAATCAAAGAACAAAGCAAATAGACTAGTTGAGAAGAGAGCGTAAAAATTAATGTCCTTCTTTGTTCTTTTTATTCTCTCTTTGTAAAGGAGGGTCGGCCTAAATAAAATAGAAACTGGTCAGAGCCGGCCCTGAGGGTGTGCAAAATGTGCCATCACACAGGCCCCTGATTCGGAAGGGCCGCAAATTTTCTTTACATTTAAACAGATACATAATATATACTTAAATGTGCAAGATAATAATAATTACCATACCAGCGCTAGTGGTGTAGGCCTTCAATCTTCTTGTACATGGCCTGTGTTTGAATTCTTGTGGAACTATTTTGCTATTTTTAAGTTTTGCAAATTTATTAACTTAAAAAGTTGATAAATTTTACACAAAAAACCATGTAACATATTTCAAACGGAACACCTTTCAAGACAAGAGACATTCTTGTCCACTCAAATAATACTTAGAATTTGGGGAACTTTAATGAAAAGCACCCGGTACTGTTCAATTTAACGAAAAACCACATTTTTACACTAAAAAGTCAATCCTGTTACTATTCACTTTACCCTTTATTTTGTCCTTATCATTAAAACTCAAAGTTTTCAAGCCCTTTTCATTAGTTTTCCTTATAATTTGGTGCTCTAATTTGTAGTATTTAAATTTTATAAATACAATTGAAAAAAAAATAACAAAGAAAGTACAGTATTAAGAAAAATGAAGGGCCTCCATCTAAATCTTGCACAGGGCTCCTAATGACACGTCCCGACCCCGATATTCCCCGAATACCCGGATAGGCACATGCTGGCCGACACCTAAGGGTGACGAAAGCCATTTATTGAATACAAGAGTAATGATTAGGATGAAATATTCATGAATAATCATTAGAATCTAAAGGAAATAAACAAAGTTTAAGGAAAAGTCTAGAGTGCACGGAACACGTTCTAAAACAAGATTCACAAAAGGAAAGATCATTAGAAGATATCACACAAGTGAGTGATAGATTGCTACTGGTAGGGGAATGCCTCGTACGTTGTGTCGTAGTCCTCGTTTCTAAGACCTGAATGGGGGCGCAAAACAAAGGCGAGTGGACCAAGTTCATATATACAATAATAATAAAACAGTTATCAAAATACTAACCCCCATAATTTATATAAAGAAAACTACTAGCATAATAAGTGATGGTTTTACTGAAAACCCTAGCATGCCAAAAATATCTCAAAAGACATATCGAGGAACACAAAATATCAAACGTCTCATAGATCGTCTCGTAGCGCGATGTACTACTAGTAAGATCACTGAATAAATAAATATCTCCCAGCCCTATGCCAGCACCGTGGTCTCTGCGCCCATAGCCAGAGATTACCAACTCCCAGCCCAATGCCTGCTCCGTGTCCCTCAGCCTGTAGTTAGGGATTATTTCTCCCGACCTAACTACCAACACCCGATCCTCGCCCCAGGCGGCATAGTGTCCGCTAGGTACGCACAAATAGTTACGCCTCTCATAAATAACCACTTCATAGTATAAAGTCATTCATCGTCTATACTATAAAGAAGGGTTTCTAAAACATGTTCTAGCATCCTATCGTCATCCATCAGATAGTCTACCAGTTCATGGTTTTTATAGAAAATACGAAATATTAAAATATAGCTCAATATAGGCCAACAATTAATTCATCACCAAAAACGAGATGATAAACAACATATTCCATAAACATGCTTAACATAAAAATCAATTCATAAACTCGTAAGGCATGCATTTTATTTATGCAATTAAACTAGGAAATTATGCAAGTTTTAGAAAGGGTCCACTCACAGATACTCCTTAGTAGTAGAGTTTTGCGGATAAGGATTAAGAATTTCCTCACTAGCAACTTCACCTAAGCACAAAAAGGTAATAAATAAATAAAATGATTATCTAAAGGATTTGGGCTTGAACTAAATAAAATAAAGGATTTGGGTTGAATGGTTAAAGCCTAATGGGTTTAGGGTAAAGGGTTTTGATTTTGGATAGGCCTAGAAACAAAAAGAATGGTGGTTTGGGCTTGAGCCCAAACCCACAACACACACACACAAGTAGTAGAGTTTTGCGGATAGGATTAAGAATTTCCTCACTAGCAACTTCACCTAAGCACAAAAAGGTAATAAATAAATAAAAGGATTATCTAAACGATTTGGGCTTGAACTAAATAAAATAAAGGATTTGGGTTGAATGGTTAAAGCCTAATGGGTTTAGGGTAAAGGGTTTTGGTTTTGGATAGGCCTAGAAACAAAAAGAATGGTGGTTTGGGCTTGAGCCCAAACCCACAACACACACACACACATGCACACACCTACACACACATATACACACACACGTGCACCAACACACACACACACACACACACACTACACATACACATAGGGCGCACACACACCACACACATACGCACGGCCCAACTCACACACACGCACTACACACACACACGGCCCACTAAGCCCAAGCATGACACGGCCCGCAGGCCAAATAACCAATAGGGAACTGGGCTGGTCCAAGAATGGGCTAAGGCTCATGGGTGTTTGAGAAGGCCTAGTGGCCTGGGTGTTGTCGGGGAAGAACACCGGAGCTGTTATAGCTCCGGTCGACGGCGAACCTGCAAACTAAAACCCAAACCAAGTACTAAAATGAAGAGGGAAGAGAGTGGAGTATTTTTCATACCCTAGCTTTGCCGTGAACGGCCGTGAGAGCTCAGAAAGAAACCTCAAAAGTCACAATTTCGTTTGAAAATGCGAGTAAGTTTCCCCCGTGCCGTTCCCGTCCTCAAAACCTTGGAAAACAACATAACTTTCATCACACAACGTCCCACAACAACAATGACAACTTAAAAAGGTAATCAAACTTACCTAGCCGGAAGAAATGGAGAAATCCGCCGAAGGTCCTTTCTCTGGGTTCCCCGACCTCGCTGCAACGGAGAGAGAGAGAGAGGGATGGTGCAAGGGAGATGATGATGATGGTCTACACTAGACCTTTCTCTGGGTTCCCCGACCTCGCTGCGACGGAGAGAGAGAGAGAGGGATGGTGCAAGGGAGATGATGATGATGGTCTACACTAGAGCGGCATGCAAATTTCCTGGGTTAGTCACGGTGCAGGGAGAGAAAGGGAGAGAGAGGAGAGTTCCCGTTCCCGTGAGAGAGAGAGAGAGAGATCTGCAAGGGACACTCGGGAAGAGAGGGAAGAGAAGAGAGCTGAGAACCTGCCACTTGGCAGTTTAGGAAAGATATGGAATCTAGATCAAGGGTTAGGATTAAAAGAGATAAAGGATTAAATTGATAAATTTAAATATGTTCTAGGGGAAAAATAGAAATAAAATAAAAATATGAGGGTGGTTGTAACACCTAAATTCTCAAGGCCGGCCCTGGTACTGGTCCAAGTAGATTGAGCAAGTTCTACTTGAGTCGTTGTAGTTTCAGTTCTTGTGAATTAACCTTACCTAGTTTACTAATTGTTGCAGTATGAGAGCAACAGGATATTGCCTTCAAAATTTTCAATTTTTCATCTTTCCTCTTCTTTTTTTTCAGGGTGGGAAAATCTGTTGTCAAAAACTAACAAAACCTACCAAGGTTGATCACATTTGGTTTGGTTTTCAATTTTATTTTTCATGTTATGGTAATAAAACCAAACTAGACCAGTCTATGGTTCGGTTGCCCCGTCTAATAACCTAACCAAAAAGCCGATCGATCATACTTTTTTAATTAAATGTGAAGAATACACACCGACCGTACACACACCATGATACAAGCTTATATACGCATGATGAACAATGTTGCAAGACACAACACACAAAAGGAAGAGGATCGATAGAAACCAAAGAATACAACGATATATAGGACAGGGAAACAATATTTGTGTATATTATGTGATGGATGAAAACTCTCAAAGCAACCATATGCTTCTACTTGGACACTACAGATAAGGTCATTGTGGCACCAAATTGCCTTACGATCCCAAAGCACCATTTAATAATAGATTCAACAAACTCAAACAGCTCACCTCCAGTAGTAGAACTACCAGATCAACCTCACTGCGACCAAACTCGCCTATAGCATACAGTGAGAATATGAACCACTGTCGTGGTTTGCACTCTCGC